ATGAACTTTTTTTGAACTAGTCACAAACAATGTAAATTAATAATATATACTTTTATCTCTCTCGCATACTCATATAATTCATGACATATTTATTTATTTTCATTTTTATTTTATTTGTTGTAGTGTGCTTGCATTCTTTATGTAATATATGTTTGATCCCTCAAAGTATTATATCAATTTTAAATCAAATGATAATTTTTTGGTAAAAAACCGAAAAAACCGAAACCGAATCAAAACAAACCAAACCAATTAAACCGTGGTTCCAAGTTTTGGAGTGTAGAACCGAACCGAAACCGAACCGAACTTTTTACTTTGATTCTATATTTGGTTTTAAGTCAAAACCGAACCGCAAGAACCAAACCCACCCCTAGTTCTAATAACCATTGTATCCAATAGGGATCCACGATTTACATCACGATTTTGGCCGAAGTTTCAAGAATCTATGGGAACGAAGTTGAAGTTTAACACTTCTTTTCATCCGTAGACAGATGGACAATCCAAACGGGTAATACTGATTTTGGAGGATATGTCGAGAGTGTGTGCATTGGAGTTCCAAGAAAGTTGAGACAACCATTTGACACTTGTGGATGAAGTTGGCATGGCCAAGCTTGAGAGTACGGAATTGGTGAAGATCACCAAGTCAAAAGTGAAAATGATTCGTGAGAGGCTTAAGATGGCCCGGGACAGACATAAGAGCTATGCCGATGAGCACCAAAGAGCCCTAGAGTATTTTTTGAAAACAAAGAGCCCTAGAGTTTAAAGTGGGAGATGAGGTATTCTTGAAAGTTTCATCTTGGAAAGGAATCATCCGATTTCAGAGCCGATGCAAATTTAACACGCGCTATAGGGCCATTTGAAATTCTGGAAAGAATTGGGGTTGTAGCTTACCGATTACAATCAACTCCAGAATTGGAGAAGATACATAACGTGTTTCATGTATCTATGCTAAGGAAATATATGCCGGGTCCGTCTCACTAACTAGGGAAACCACCCATGGAAATACGTGAGGACATGAACTATGTCGTGAAACCGGTAAAAATACTTGATAGACAAGTAAAGAAGCTAAGGAGAAAGAAAGTTCCAATGGTTAAAATCCTTTGGAAAAGTGACCGAGTTGAAGAAGAAACGTGGGAAACGGAAGCCTTAATGAAGGAACAATATGCATTTCTATTTGAATAACATGGTGAATTTCGGGGACGAAATTCCCGTTAAGGGGGGGGGGGGGGGGGGGTGAACTTGTGACACTGCACGCTGATGTACTTGAATTTAAAATTCAGTATGTATTTGAATTTCTTAGCGAATAAAATTGTGTAACAGAATGACATATTTAATTAATGAATGATTAATTAAATTATTTATCGGGCCCATAATATTGAGAATGGGCTACCAAGTAATTAGTTGGGTCATCATAATAATTATAGAAGCCCAATAAAATGACAACTAAAGTTGAGGAAAATGTTTGGGCAATCCAAGTGCTATTTTGACCCAACCTGCCAGAAATAACAATAATAATTGAGAGAGACTTCCTACACCCACTTGGGGTATTCCACAAGCCAAATAACATCAAATAATAGGGAGGGGGACAAAGAAAGTGTAGTGTGTGCAGACTAGTGAATGAGGAGACGGGTAGAGACAACCTCATACATCCCATGTCCTCTCCTAGCATTATTTTTAGTCCTTGATTGAAAATAGATACCTCCCCTATCATTGAGAACCATTCGAACAACCCAAGGAAAGAGGAGCTCTAGGAAAGACCTTTCACAAGCTCTAGCTATGAGGAAGCTATTGGGGTAACTCGAGTTCCACTGCCGTAGACACTTTGGAATAGAACTCATTCTTATATACAAGTGTGCACTCCACACCTCCTAACTTGTATTAGAACACGGTTCTAATCCTTATTGGCACTCTTGTCATTTCCAATTACACAAAACGGCCGGTGACAATAAAATCACCAATAATCCTCCCCCATTTTAGTGTAACCCATGAAATGACATAACAAAGTTCACAAACCAAAACTTGCACATAAATGGAAATGTCGATACGATTGAATTTCCATCTTAGTATTTTACACATTCAAAATATTCGAGAATCGGGGTGTCCTACGGATTGAACCCTTCAACCCATTTGAATATCTCAAGATAAAATACATACAAGTTTCTATACTCAACTAGAATACAAACTTGACACAATTACAAAACCGTGTGTCCTAATCCCATTCATGATCGTATAAAAGCCAAGTCCCGAGCTTTTTGAAGTGCGGCTACACTTCACGATCATATAGGTAATTCCTTTACTCGTGTACCTGGTTACACTTTATCAAAGGAATTATTAAGAAATAAATTCAGCCTCCCTACTACAGGTCCGAACACACACCTTGGGATGTTTTTCATTGTGTGTTCCAATCCATTAAGTGTGAGCTTTCCGCATTGAATTCAGCCTCTAACGTTGTATTAGAGGGGAATTGGGTGTCTCACCATTAAGGATTAAATGGACTTTAAACCCATCCCTATAACAGACTTGTGCACTAAGTCCCGGGCCTAACTTTTGGTCAAGTGGTCCGCCAAGTTATGTTGCGATCTTACAAATTCCACCGAAATTACACCATTCATGATTAGTTCTCTAATCATACTATGTCTAACACCTAAGTGTCTAGACTTGCCATTATAAACATGACTATACGCCTTAGCCAAAGTGACAGTACTATCACAATGGATAGAAATAGGTGCAATCGGCTTCCTCCACAATGGAATCTCAAATATTAAATTTCTTAACCACTCCGCCTCTTTACCGGCGGTAGCCAACGCAACAAACTCAGATTCCATCGTTGAACTTGTGATACAAGTTTGCTTCTTGGATGCCCAAGAAATGGCATCTCCCCCAAGCAAGAATACCCAACCACTTGTAGAAGAATGATCCTCTACATTGGATATCCAACTTGCATCCAAATATCCCTCTAAACCCAAGGATACTCAAAGTAACACAAACCATAATCCATGGTTCCCTTTAAATACTTGAACACTCTCTTCATTGCGTGCCAATGTTGAGTACTAGGATTACTAGTAAACCGGCTCAACCTACCCACGGCATAAGAAATATCCGGCCGAGTGCTTGTCATGGCATACATCAGACTACCAATGGCTTGAGAGTACTCAAGTTGTGATACCACCTTTCCTTTATTAGGCATAAACTTCACACTAGGATCCATGGGTGTACCAACGGGTGAACAATCACTATAATTAAACCTTTTGAGAATATTCTCAACATAGTGAGCTTGTGTCAAAGCAATCCCTTTGTTTAACCGTTTAATCCTTATACCAAGGATCACATCCGCCTCCCCCATGTCCTTCATGGAAAACCTTGATGATAACAACCTTTTGGTTTCATCAATATGATTTTGGTCAGTTCCAAAAATCAGCATGTCATCAACATAGAGACATATGATCACACCCGCCCTTAAGGCATCAAATCGGCTATAGACACACTTGTCCGATTGGTTTAAACTAAAACCATTGGACAAAATAACTTCATCAAACTTTTAATGCTATTGTTTGGGTGCTTGTTTCAGCCCATACAATGATTTGACAAGTTTACAAACCTTATCCTCATTTCCCAGCATAACAAAACCTTCCGGTTGTTTCATGTAAACTTCCTCATCAAGATCACCATTTAAAAATGCCATCTTGACATCCTTCTGATGTATAATCAGATTGTGTATAGCCGCCAAAGCAATTAACAACCTAATGGTTGTAATTCGAGCAACCGGCGCATACGTATCAAAATAGTCAATTCCGGGTTTTTGTCTAAAACCTTGAATGACCAACCGAGCCTTGAACCTGTCAACACTTCCATCCACTTTCATCTTCTTTTTGAAGATCCATTTGCAACCTAAGGGTTTAGAACCCGGTGGCAAATCCGACAACACCCAACTGTTGTTCTCCATAATTGATGACATTTCATCATCAATTGCCTCCTTCCAAAAGGAAACATTGCGGGACTCCATTGCCTCGTTAAAGGACTTTGGATCATCCTCAACTTGGTAACAATATGAATATTGTGCCCCCACTTCATCCCTTGAACCTTCCACTAAATACAAGTGAAAATCGAGACCAAAGTCTTTCATGATGCGGCCTCATTTGCTTTTCCTTATTTGTGGTGCTTCGGGATTCAAAGCACCATCCAAACATTCTGGAACTTGCACCTCACTAGTTCTTGGAACTAGTTCCTTTGGTCTTTGAATTAATGAAAATCTCATCTCATCAGAGATCACATCCCGAGACTCAATTCCCCTTTCCCCCAAAGTTTTCCTTTTGAGCTCCGACAATTTTACAACTGCCGTACAACCCCATACAACAACAACATCCAAGCCTTAATCCCAAAAGAATTTGGGGTCGGCTAACATGAATCGATCTATGATATCGATGCCAAAAAGAGAAGGCGGACAAGAAAAGGAAAAAAACAAGTAAGATAAAATGAATAAAATAAAGATACATAAATATAAGATAATAATAACACAAGAATATAACCAAGATAAAAGAAAAATAAATAAACCATCTTTATTATTAAGCATGCAAGTCCTACACTTATCATTATTAATATCAAAAGCCAAAATTAAACCATCTTTAGACATTTCATGCATTTTTCTAAAATTAACATGACCTAATCTAGCATGCTAAATCATACAATCATTCATGGAAGATGCCACAAAAACTGAATAATCACTAGAAATTAATTTATTCACAACATTCAAACGAAACATGCGATTTGATAAATATCCAAAACCAACAAACACACCACCCTTGGACAAAATATATTTATCGGATTCAATCACTTGTTTGAACCCTAAATTATTCAACATACTTCCCGAAACAAGATGCTTTCGAACCTTCGGTACATACAAAACATCAAACAACGTAATTGTTTTTCTTGAAGTAAATTCTAAAACAACTACACCCTTTCCCAAGATAGGCACCATTGACTTGTCTCCCATGCGTAAGAAGGAACCGGCCTCCACTGGTTCTAGGTCTTCAAACCATCCTTTATCCTTACACACATGGATCGTAGCCCCCGAGTCAATCCACCATGCACAGTCATCATCCTGTACATAAAAAGATTCTGGAATGAGTGATACATAATTCTGGACAGAATTATCAAAGTTAGTCAGGAACTGACCTCCTTTCCGTGGAACCAGGTCCTTAGACCGTTCCTATCCACTGCCACTCGTTCCAGCGCCATTCTTGTTCAGTTTCACACGGCAATCACGCTTGACATGTCCAACCTTTTGACACCTCCAACAAACCAAACCTTTCGGTTTCTTGTTGGGTTTGTCATGGTCTTCATACTTGCGCTTTTTGCCTTTCCCCTTATCTTTCGGGTTAGATTTATTATCCTCAACCAAGTGAACATGAGCCAATCTAGATTCAACTTCACCCATAATTTGGTCATTCTCTTGCGCACGAAGAGACTCCTCAATGTACAAGTGACTCCCAAGTTGAACCAATGACAATTCCTCATCTTGATGTTTTAAATTACGTTTAAAATCTTTCCAAGAGGGTGGAAGTTTGTCAATTATACTTGACACGGCATAGGACACATCAACACCTATCTTGTGGAGTTTAAATTGACCAAGAACACGAAGGAGTTCATTGTATTGTTCCATAACTGGCCTTGAGTCAACCATTTTAAAATTATTAAAATCACTCACCAAGAAATTCTTACTAGAAGCATCCTCGGCGATGTATTTTGACTCAAGAGAATTCCACAATTCCTTCGCACTCTCAACATTTTGGTAAATATCAATGAACGCATCGGACATACCGTTAAGAATGTGGCCTCTACATATGTAGTCATCGTTCTCCCACTTGATACGCCTCCTAGTTTGTTCCAAGGTTTTGTCCTCCATCACATCCGGCATCGGAGTGCTCAACACGTACACAACCTTCAAAGTGGTGAGGAGGAAGTGCATCTTCTTTTGCCATCTACGGAAATCATTCCCTTGAAACTTGTCTAATTTGTTGAACTTGGATGTCATCTCTTCCACGGTACTCATTATTATCACAAAGAAATATCAATTCGATTGTTGGGGTAAATCACGTAGGGGGTGATAATCGAGTACTTGGATTGCTTAAGGATCGTGTAAGTTCATTTTCCGAATTGATATATCTCCTATGCCTGGGTTACAAGAAATTCAATCTAGGATAATCCTTAAGGACACTCTAGAACTTAGGCACAAGAACTAGAGCCAAACTAGTGAGTATATGGATTGATATCTTAAGTTGAATGCCAAAAATAATGAAGATATATTGGATATCTTTCCTCATCCTTCTATGTACGAAATATGGTGATATATAACCATATTACACGTCCTGGGCAGTTGCAACACGTTCTGGAATAACTATGACAGTTTTTGGAAAACTGCACGAAACTGCCACCCGCTCTAGACCTCGGTCTAGAACTACAGAGTTGGTCTATTGAGTGTTCTACCTCGAGTTCCACTGTCGTAGACACTTTGGAATAGAACTCGTTCTTATATACAAGTGTGCACTCCACACCTCCTAGCTTGTATTAGAACACAGTTCTAATCCTCATTGGCACTCATGTCATTTCCAATTACACAAAACGGCCGGTGACACTAAAATCACCAACATAAGCAAGAAGGAAGATAACCCAACAAGAAATAGTTTGGGTTCAAGGTAAGGACTCTACCTATATTCTTCTAACTAATTTTATGTTGTATGATTTTTTAAGAAATTACTAGTTACACCAACCGTGCGTTGCACGAGAGTGGAATACCTATACATTAATTTATTAGATAGATTATATTAAAAAAGTTATAAAACAACTTGATTGTTAATCAATTACCTAAAAACATTAAATAAAATATGAAGGCATATTGAATTCAGAAAATAAAAATACTCGCAAGTTAATTATAAATCATCACATGATGAAAAAAGTTTGCATGTATGTCCACGGAACTATTGTCGAGGAAAACAACAACTAACTAAATATCTTTGCATATAACATTCAATGTAGACTTGATTGATTGTCCATCTTCGTCACATATCACAAACTTCAACTCAGGTTGACTTGTTACTCTCGAGACTGCCACTACAATGATTCTTACATAAAAACGGGCATACAAAATATCAATTACATTATTATTATTTTAGATTTAGGATGGAATTTTATTTTTCTTACCTATGGTTCAATTAGGAATCTTTTACAATTTCGGTCTTTAATAAGTGTTGGTGAAAGTAACTTGTTTCATTGTTTAGAGACTTCGATTTCATTTGTAAAACTTATGAAGTGTTTGCAAAAATCTAAAAAAAAAATTCAATTTTTGGGTTAAAAAGTATAAATGAGTGTTTTCAAGTATCAAATTCTCCTTAAATGAAACACTTGAAAGCTAAAAGTTGGAAGCAAGTAGAAGAGTGTTTTTCACCTTTTGTATTACATAAAAAGAATTTTTTTTTTCAAAGTACCAATATTTACTTTTTCAAAACATTTTTCACACACTATCAACTTTTACTATTAAGGGATTTTTTTAATTCAATTGAAATATCATTTTTTGCAAAGTACAAATAATCGCAAAAACTCTATTAATTCGATAGCATCTGTGTCCATCATGAGAAGAGACTAAGCACGTAATGGAAAACCCCGACACCTGATTTTTTCTATTTGTAGAAGTTATCTCTTAACATTTATTAGGCAAGATTGTTATAGACTGTTACAGAAATGGGGTATTGTTATTGTTATTTTATTTGAATCAATTTTAGTTATCAAATTTGATGGAAACAATATTGAAAATGTACTTAATACAATGTAATACTTAAAATATATTAACTTTACTAAATAAATTTATTATAAATCTCACTCAGTTATAATATACATTTATAAACACAACCTTTTTGTTGTTTGTTTTTAATTCGGGTAGGGAGTTTATAATTATTAAGAGCTAGCTTGGTTAAGGGATTTCAAAGGAGAGGAAAAGAGATGGGTCATAATTAAATTAAATTTGAAATAATTTTTAGATTTAGAAAAATTGAAATAAAGTGAAGACAAAATAGTATATAAAAATATATGGTCTAACTAATTAATTATATGGTTATTTGTAATCTAAAACTAATAAATTCAAATAAGTTAATAAAGTAAACAATCAATCCTCTTCCCTCTCCTCTAAAATAACCCAACGAAACTGGCCCTACGAGAAAGGTGGAGACACCAAATTGTATTCGTGGCCAAATGATGTATGGAATTTGAATAAAACTTTTGAGGTTAGAATCTATCTATATACAAACAGCCGTGGAAACACTAGCAAATTCCCGCCCAAAGTTTTGGATAAAAAAGATGAAAAGATTTCTGAAAGCTGCATAATCGAAAATATCTTTCTTTAACACTATTCAATAAAGTTGTATTCAATGTGATGTTTATTGAAGAGTTCTTTTTAGATATGTTGTACGGCACAATAAACGCATTGGACTTCAATGAAGTAACACACAACCTAACCCTTCAAAAGTTCATTAAATGATGTCTCAAAAGTTGTACCCCCTTATTCTACTTCTTAAGGAACATTATTATCTATCTATTGGTTATTACATAACAGATAATAAGGAGTACATATCAGTACACACAATACTTGCTCAATCCATTATAAATAGGGTTTGATACCCCAACTCATCATCACACCACCACCACACTACACACGACAATGGAAACAAAAAACAAATGGAATGTGGTCACTCATAGTGGTAGACCACATGAGGTCTTTTGAGATCAAGGATGGCAAGGGCAAATGAGGCGTCACCCCAGTCCAGAGGACACCGAATGTAGACTGAGTTTACTGATGCAGAGAGGTAAATTATATTAGATGCTTTTATTTGATAACCATAACACATGAAATCATAAACAACAAAACGCTTAGAGGTAAAATGTTTGAAGAAACAAATATTTGTGTACAAAACAAGAATGAAAACGACTAAAAATAAGTTTAGTTTACAATAACTTCAAATAACCATAACAAATTTTATGATAAAACATAAAAGGACCCATTCATTAGCTCATTTTTTGTTGGCCTTTTATAAATAATAGCAATGGAAAAGAAATTGATTTTCATCTACCTTAAAGAAAACACATATTCTGTGTTAATTTTCTGTTGAAAAAAAGTTTTGTTAAATTTGAACATTCACTTGATGAAATTCACTGTATTATTTCATCTTAATTAAATATCATATTAAAAGTCCCACATGATATACAGGGGGATAGAATCCATGCCATTATATACTCCGTAAAAGGCCACAGGTCAAGTTATGCAAGTCCAAAATCAAGGAACATGGCCTTTGTGTGATTAAAAATCCTGGTCGAGATAACTACCATACATATGGAGTACATGAGCAAAACGCGCGCAAGTGGGAGAAATTCCAGCATACAACTTCCTAAACATAAGAGTGCATAGTATAATATGTACTTATATTGCTTAGCCAATACAAGAGTGTAAATTGCTTAGCATGGATTACACAAACTCTCAAAAAAGGATATTGATTTTTCTGTATATTATACAAAAGGAAAAGCATCTATACGTATACAAGGTATGGTTTCTTCGAAAAAATGATATGAAGTAAACTAATTTAATTATTACACGAAAAAGTGTGTTTGTTTGGATTAATAAACATATACTACTTTTGTATGTATACTGCTTTTGTGAGTATAATATGTAATATAATAGAATAACAATTTAATAATTATTCAACTATTACTAACCGATGGGGGTATATAAACTTTTTGGGCATGATCACACAGTTTTCAAAAAAATATACTATTGTTTATTTTCCTAAAGATAGTATACATACGTATACAATGGTTTACAAGTATATATAACACTCATAAGTTCTTATACAATACATAATAGTATTCTAAATATTATATTCACTGTTCAACCTTTTTTATACATAAAAATAAAAAATTTGTCTCCATAAGTAAAGGTACAACTATGATAGATCCAAAGGGATATGTCGTATCCTTGCTAATATATGTGTTCGGAATTTGAAAAAATTATAGAATTACATAACCACTACATATGATGATTGATGGATAGTCTACCCGGGGTATGTATCCGAAGGGTTACTGCGGGGAGTAACTAGAGAGAAGTCAGGGTAAGTAAGAGAGAGAAAGTGTATTGTATATATGAGTTCAAAGTGTATTCCGAATCTGGTTTACAAAGGGGAAATGGGGTGCTATTTATAGTAGCAATAAATGCGAGACGGGGACACGTGTCAAGCATCCAACGGCCGAGGGGTCACATCAACCGGGTGTCACTGGCATTCGCATGTGGCCGCATTTAATGCGGTGGTTGGATGTGACGTTGTACTTGGTACGGCGATCCAGGCGCATGTGGAGAGGATATTCTTGTCGAGGAAGGTACCCTCGGCTGTAGATGATTAGCCGAGGGCTCTTCCTGTCGAAGGCCCCTTTAAGGCTGTGGGCTCCAGGTGTCGAGGGCTACTGTTTTTTGCCGTTTTCTCCCAGTAACTTTGTATGCTGAAAATAGCCTTTCTGTGAGTATCTGGAGCCTTCGGCCAAGGGGCCGAAGGCACCCCCAGTGTGCATTGTCGGTTGCTTGGTACTCGGGGCACTGTGATTTGGGCCTGTTGTGCTTACCGGGCCTATTGGGCCTTGATTTGAGTAGTAGGAGTCTATGGGCTGGGGGTCCCTAGGCCATATACTCCATCACGAGTCCATCACTCCTTTTGCCGAAAGGTACTTGAGGGAAAAGGAGTAATTGTGTTTGTCCTCTGCCGTTGTTCCGTTGTAGTTTGTAAAGTTGTGAGTAGTTCGTTGTTTGCATGTTTCTGCCGAGGGCAGTCCCTCAGTTACCCACATTCCTGGACTTGAGGAATCATGTTTGCTGTTGTGGGAGTTTTTTATATGTTTGTATTTTGAGATTTTTCCCGAAGGGGTCCTCTAGTCCCCCACTCCTTGAGGCACTTGTAAAGTGGTGAGAAGGAGTAGAGTAGTGCTTGCCTGCAATATGGTCTCGAGGGGTGACGCTTTTCGTTTCATTTTGGGGGGATGCCTCGTTAAAAACCTTATTAGAAAAAACCCTCTCGGAAAAAATTCTAATGAGGGAAAAAGAGTGCACCGAATTCCCCCAATGATGAGTCGAAAAGGTGAAACCCTGGTCTGAAATGTGTGGCAGTACTCTTGCCGAAGGCTATCCTTGTCTGAGGGTGCGTGTGTTGCTTTGCCGAAGGCGCGCTTGTTGGTATCCTGGGAGATTCCGAAGGGGAGCCCTCAGTTCATGGGAATGAAGGCGCGATGAATGTAGATGATATTTCCTGTGTTGTCGAGGGGTCCCCTGTTTGTTGATAAGTTGGGAGCTGTGGTACCCCGGGGAGGTTTCCTTGTTGTGTAGCCGGGGGTAACTGCTGTTGAAGGTGTGCTCCCTGGGGGTTACGTGGTCCTCAATGTGTTTGAGGGCTGAGTGTTCCCGAGGGGTGTGCCCGTTGTGAAGCCGTGGGCTTCTGAAGGAGTGAGCCCGAAGGCACTTGTGATGTAGTATGAGGGGCACAGGGCGGGGGCACCTCTGGATAAGTGTACCCGGAAGCTCCTCTTGATGAAGTGGAGTGAGGGAGAAAGCTCGAGAGCTAGTTTTTTGGTTGATGAAGGAGTGGTCTGTTGAGGGCGTGCCCTTGGGTTCCCCGAATATAGTCGTTTTAATAGAGCCGTTGGAATATGTAACGTCGGAAATATAGCCGTTGGGGGGGGGGGGGGCTTCCACGTGGCGCGTATCCACTAGCTGTCTGCGGACGGGTGTTACCGATTCGGCGAAACAACGGTAAGTAATGATGACTCTGTAACCGGAGGCCCAGTTTTCAGGCCCAAGCCCGGATCTGGGCGCCTATAAATACCCCAAGGTCAGGCCATTTCCCCTTTACGCATCCTTGTTGCAACGAAGTGCTGGCAAAAAGTTTCTAGAGAGAGAAAATTCCCTTTGGTCAAACCCAACTTCCCAAAGGTCAGTTCTTGCTTCACTCTTTGCTCCTTAGTATTCTTAGCCTTGTGGCCTTAGGTTAAGCGTTAGAGCTCTCTAGAAAACCTTAAGGAGCCCTACTTCCTTAGTAAAAATGTCGTCTGCAAGTGATTCCTAAGACATCTCGAGGGAGCCCTCGGTCGAGGATGAAGTCATCTCCGATTTGGAGTCTACCAGTGAGCAGCCCTCGACTGGTGATGATGCCGCCCTGGCCATGGAGGTACAGAAAGATCTGGTGGCGGAGGCTAAGGCGGAGGACTTTGAGCAAGTAAATGAAGACGAGGAGCTGGCTCTCGCCGTTCAAGTCGCTGAAGAAAAGGAGCAAAAGGAAAGCAGGAAGGTCACCGTCGCTATTCTTCCCCCTCGCGATGCCGGTGAAGCCAGCACCTCTCGGCCATTGAACATGACACCTCTTCGGGTGGCCCCCGGGAAGAAGAAGGCGAAGGCTGCCGCTCCCAAGAAGAAGGGCAGCGTTGCTGACCAAGGGAAACCCTTCGATATGCCCGAGGGTTATTCCTTCCTTAATACCGCCGCCCTCGAGATAAAGTCGAAGGCTGATGGGGCGGACTACTATGTGACCCAGCTTCATGTGGGGCCCTCGGCGACGGTGGTACAGCCTGGTCCAGAAGACGTCCTCTCCCGGGATCCTGAGGGGTGTATAGCAGTGCACATATTGTCGGTGTCAATGGGCCTCCGGTTCCCTCTACACCCTTTTCTTCGTGAGTACCTTCGGTATGTAGGTTTGCTTCCCTGCCAGCTCACGCCAAATAGTCACTCGTATATCACGGGGTTCCTCCATCTCTGTAAATCCCGGGGGGTAACACCTAGCCTGGACTTATTTTTTCAAAGCTTCAACTTGTGCCGAGGGGGGGGGGCATGCGAACGCCGAGGGGTTTGCGATTCTACAGCAGGTATCCCAGTTCAAGCTGTTCACAGAGGCATTACGTGAAGTTGGATGAGTGCCCGTTCCCGAGGGAGTTGCGGGACCGCTTCTGACGACATCCAAAGATCAGGAGTGTTGCCCTCGAGAAAGATGGCCTGATCTGGGCAAAAATCCTGGAGGGCCGAAACAAAAATATAGCCATCAAAGAGTGCACCCTAGAGAAGGATTTGCATGCCCTCGGGTTCCGGCGGTATCGTTTTCTTGGGGAGACCAACGAGAAGTACCCTGAGTTGGACAGAGCCTTCGAGGGAGCTGGAGGTTGGTGCCAAGGGCGCTGAGTTTTTGTACTTGGAATTTTTTTTGTATTTTTCGATTGCCTATTCACGCTTTCTACCCCTCGGTCTAACTGTTTTTTGTTGTTTGGAGGCGCTAATATGGACGCAGGGAAACTCTTCACCATGAAGAAGAAGAAGGGCAAGGCCCAGGCTCAGAAGAAGGACCCTTCGGGCCAGCAGCCCGTTGAGGCCTTCTTTCAGAAGGAGATACCGGAGCCCTCTGTTGTGGCTGTCGTTGCTGATGTGGCCGGGGGGCCACGAAAAAGAAGAAGGGCAGCAAGGGGGTAGAGCCCCCTGCCAAGAAGCAGAAAGGTCCCGGGGATGTTGCTGAGAAGGCGGCCCCCGTAGTGATCATAGAGGATCATTCCTCTCTCGAGCCCCCGGTTGTCACCGCGGTGACAGCTCAGACGGACCTTCCCCCGGGGGACTTTCCCCGAGAGACTCTGCAACTCTCCCTTGCTCCGGAAGCTTCCGTGATGCACGGCTCGGCCGAACCGAAGGCATTCCTGAGGGGGGATCACTTCGGTGATGGATAAGGCGGCCCTCTCGACCTATGACGACGAGGCCCTCAAGAGCAAGATCTTCCGATCTTCTCTAACTGTAAGTTTTTTCACTTGTCCTTGTTTTAACACTTAATATATTTTCAATATTCGTCTAAATCTTTTGTTCGTTGTTTAACAGGCTTGCATAGCCCTCAGAGAGCATGCACGAAAGCTCGAGCAGTGGTGCCTCCACAAGGTGGAGCAAGATGAGAAGATGAAGGAGCTCATCCTCAAGAACTCTGACGCTGTGAAGCAGATGGCTCAGCTGGATGAGAACCTTCGGAAGGCTACCGAGAGGGCTGAGCAGAGGCTAAAAGCTACCGTGGAGGAGGCCAAACTTGAAGCTGAGAGGGTTGCCGCCGAGGCCTCAAAGAAAGCTGCAGAGGAGGCGGAGTCTGCTAAGGCCGAAGTCGTCGCCAAAGCTAGAGAGGATGTCGTCGCTGCATTCCTTGCTGAGGGGTGGATGGCCGAGGGCCAGAATGAGTGGGTCACCTCGGTAGTAAAGGCCATGGTGGATGACTGGGTGAAGGGCCCCGGGTCTGATTGGATGGCTGAAAGGGGGGATAGCTTTTATCAAGGGGGTGAATTCTTCACCCAGCATTTGATCTACCGGAGGCTCGCTGGGCACTTCGCCGTATCCCTCGAGCAATTCGACACGTCGGTGTACGGCCTCCCTCCATTGCAGCCAGATGTGAGGGTCCCCCTTCCCTCGAGCGTGGAGAGGCCGGTGATTCATGACTCCATGATGATGGGCGGAGATGATGATGATGATGCCATCGGGGAAGAGGTATCCTCAAAGCCTGCTGAGGAAGAAAAAGCTGAATGGTTCTGTACTTAGATAATTTTTGAACCATCTTTGTAACAAACATCCAGGATCCGTCGGCTTCGGCCAATTATGTAACAGACATCTCTTGACATTACTTCATGGTTTTTTTGAATGGGTGAATGCCTGCCTTCGGGCTTTTTGTACATAAGTTTTCTTTTTCCCTTTAAATGTATGCCTTCGTCTTTTCCCTCCTTTGTGTATGAATGTATGCTTGTATGGTGTACTGGTCGGGGGGCAACACAATTAGAACTTAGAAATTTTTCTAAGTGTAACTTTCACATTTACGACTTCGATTGATTGTGAGAGTCCCCTTGCAGTTGTGCCCTCGGGTTGCGTGACCCCTTGGACTACATCGACATTTGAGTGTTGAATATTAGCTAGCCTTCGATAAGGGTAACCCTCTGGATTTGGTGTAGCCGTCCTGAGGTTACCGAGGGCAAATATTTTTTGGGACTTAGAAAATATCTCCAAGTGTTGTTTCGCCAAGCCTTCGGCTGTGTGGTCCCTCTTGCTGCATGGAGATTTGACCGGGGGTCAAAATATTTAGGACTTAGAAAATTTTCCTAAGTAGAGTTCTTCCACCAAACCTCCGGTTACCATGGTCCCTCAGATGTGTGATGATTGGGCCGGGGGCCCAATCGTTGGGACTTAGAAAAAGTTTCTAAGTGTAGTGTTATCACTGGCAGCCTTCGGCTGATAGCTCCCATCTATTTCTGTGTGGCCTTCCTGAGTTGCCCGGGGGCAAACCATTTAGGACTTATAAATTTTCTGAGTGTAATTTAGACATCGAGCCTTCGGATAGTATGAGATAGAAGCCTTCGAGTGATTGTGAGAGTATTCCTGTGGGTGTGCCTCCGGCCGAGTGATAATTTGATATGGGGCCAGCCTTAGGACTTAGAAATTTTTCCATGTATGAACCAGCTGCCTAGCCTTCGGTTAGTAGGCACTCCTTGTTGTATGAAGTGGAGTGGCCTTCGTTGCAATGTAAGTTGGCCGAGGGCCACACGTTTTAGGACTTAGAAAATTTTCTAAGTGTTAGCATGCCACTTGGCCTTCGGCTGTATGATTGGTTGACCGAAGTTTCTGAGTGTTTGAAAATCATCTGGCCTTCGGTAAAGGGAGCCTTCAGGATTGTGGCCTTTTTAGGGAAGACTTCCCTTGGCAAGAGTACTTTCCCTTGACCTGTGAGACTGGCCCCCGGTAATGTGTGGACTATGATAGCCTTAGCAAATTTTGTAGTCCAAGAATAGCATGAAAAAGACATATGCCCTCGGGCAATGCTTGGGTGCATTCCCTCGGTGTTTAGTGAAATGTCGGGGGCAACTGCTGCTTGAAATGTCGTTGAGTGGACTTGGCTAGTTCTATTCCTTTAGTTGGATTAGAGCCTTCGGCGGCAGTGACTTGTCCATTTGTTGATGACATCTGTTGAATAGTAGCCTTCGGAGGTGTTCCCGTGGGGAAGCCATCGGTATGATGTTGAGATTCCTTGTAATGCCGAAGGATTTCCTATTGTGATTTGTTGAAGTTGTGTACCCATTGATTTCTCGCTGAGTCTACTCCCCTTCACTCCCTTGTTTTTTTTTTGTTTTTTTATTATTTTTTTTTAATTTTTATTTTATTTTTTTTAGAGAGAAAGAAGGGAAGGCTTCAAGAAACTTGGTTTCTTGGTAAGGCTGGGCCTATCGGGAGGCAACAGAATACACCATTAGCTCCCCCCTCGGGTTAACCTTCCGAGTTCCGAGGGGATCGAGGGTCGTTTCCTGGGCATAAGACATAGTTTGTAGCCTGCCTCCCCTTGGGAGATGGCACGGAAAGTGCCCCAGTTTTGAAAGTCGTCCCCTCGGTGCCAGACATAGTCCGCGGCCTGCCACACCCTTGGGGTAGTGGCGCGGGGAGCGTTTCGGTTTGGAAGTCGAATCGTGGGCATATTAGATGCCTGCCAATCCCTGGGGGAGATGGCGCGGAAAGCGTTCCGTTTTTGAAAATCGAATCCTAGGTATATTACTTGCCTGTCATACCCTTGGGGTAGTGACGCGGAAAGCGTTTCAAGGAAGGGTTTTCATTTGCACACTGGTTGCAAATGGCCGGGGGCACTACGTGCTGCCGACACCGATAGGTGGCGCCTTCGGTATATGCGTCCTCGAGGGGTACGGCTTTAGAAACAACACTTGGGGTTTGTTCCGGTATACGGCCCCCGGTATTAGTACCGAGAGGTCTTCTTTAAAAACGCTTGGTGTTTTTCTTCATTTGTTGTAGGTAGCGGGAGAGTGTACCCCTGGCACTTGGTGCTGAGGGGTCTTCTTTGAAAACATTTGGTGTTTTCTCCACTGTTGTAGGTGATAGTAGTGTCTACCCTCGGTGCTTTATTCCGAGGGGTCTTGCATGTGATAAGGGCCTTGTTTCTTGTCCTTGGTGTCTTCAACATGCCTTCCTTCTTTAAAAATTGGAGGCCTTGGGGCATAGAATAATACATTCACTAGTTATGAGGGCTTGGCCTCTCTATTACTCATAAAATTTAACTAAGTGATGTACATTCCAATGTCTAGGGACCTCGGTCCCATTGGGGCGTTTAAGCTTGTAGGTCCCTGGTTTGATGACGGCTGCAATGATGTACGGGCCCTCGAATTTTGGTGCCATCTTTCCTCCCTCGGTTGGTTGGCTAGCTTCCCTCCTTCGGAGTACATAGTCCCCCACTTGGAATTCTCGATAGCGAACCTTGGCATCGACGTAGCTTTTGACTTGCCTTCGGTAGTTTTCCGTTCGCACGAAGGCTTGCTCTCGGCGTTCTGAAATGAGGTGGAGGTCGAGGGCCATGTTGGCGTCGTTGACTTCGGGGTCATATTGGATCACCCTTCGGGTAGGAAGGGTCACCTCCGTAGGAGCTTTAGCCTCAAACCCGTAGCAAAGGGAGAAGGGTGTTTCACCCGTTGCCCGCCGAGGGGTGGTGCGGTAGGCCCATAAGATGTTATGGAGTTCTTCTACCCAGCCTCCCCCTTCGACCTCCAGCTTCTTCTTTAGGCCCTCGAGCAAGATCCAGTTGGCGTTCTCTACTTGTCCGTTGCCCTGAGGGTAGGCAACGGAGGAGAAGGTGTGTTTGATTCCCCATGCCTCTAGGAGGGCACAGAAGGGGGCTGCCTCAAATTGAGTCCCATTGTCGGAGATGATTTGCTGGGGACACCAAACCTTGTGAGGATGTTCTTGAGAACAAAATGACGGCATTTGGCTTCGGTGATGCTTGCGAGGGGCTCAGCTTCCACCCACTTGGTGAAGTAGTCAATGGCGACAATGGTGTACCTGTTGTTGGAGGGACCCCTTGGCAGAGGGCCCACGAGGTCTATGCCCCATCGAGCGAAGGGTATGGATGTGCTGATGGGGGCATAGTTCACCGCTGGCCTGCCGGGGGGCTTTCTGGAAGTGTTGGCATGCGGTACACCTTCGGGCGAGATCCGCACAATCCCGGGCCATTGTAGGCCAAAAGTAGCCTTGGATTATGAGCCTTCGGGACATGGAGAAGGGTCCCTGGTGAGCTGAGCAAGTGCCACTGTGCACCTCCTCCATCGCAACCTCGGCTTCATCTTGATGAAGGCACCGAAGTAGCGTCCCGTTGTATGATCTTTTGTAAAGCCTTCCGTCCTCGATGGTGTAGCTGGGAGCCCTCAGCTTTGCTAGCTTGGCACGGGACTCATCCTCGGGCAGTTGCCCTGTGGTGATGAAGGCGACAATATATGAGATCCAGTCCTCTTGCCTTTGTTGTATGGGCATGATGGGGCTAGCATGTATGCTGGAGAGGCTGAGCTCCTCGATCTTGGCAATCTTTGAGATATGCTCAGGGATTCGGCCGAGAGCTTTGATAAAATGTCGGCCTCAGAGTTTTGAGCCCTCGGTATTTGAGTAAGAGAATGTGCCTCAAATACCTTAAGAAACTCCTTGGCCGCTTCTTTGTACTGCTTCATTCTTCCTTGGCTTCGTACTCCCCGGAAATTTGGCCGACGACTAACTTGGAGTCGCACTTGACGTGGATCTGTCGGGCCTTCATGTTAGCTGCCAGCCAAAGGCCACAGAGGAGGGCCTCGTATTCGGCTTCGTTGTTGGAGACCTTGAAGGAGAAGCGGATTGCATAATAGGCCCGGAAGCCTTCGGGTGAGATGAGAACCACCCCTCCTCCACATGCTTTGATAGCGGAGGAGCCGTCGGTGTAGAGGGTCCACCAATCGTCTGAGGGAGCCGAGGCCTCCTCGTCCACAGCTGATCTGGCCGTGCACTCCGTCACGAAGTCCGCCAGGGCTTGGCCCTTTATGCCAGGTCTCGGACGGATGTCGATGTTGTATTGGCTGAGGAAGATAGCCCATTTTACCATTCGGGAGGAGCTGGTGGGACTCCTCATCAGGGCGCCGAGGGGTTGATGCGTGAGGACCTGGACCGGATGGGCCTGGAAGTAATGGCCAAGCTTCTTCACAGTCCAAACAATAGCTAGCACCGTCTTCTCCACATGGGAATACCGAAGTTCCGCTTCCCTGAGGGTCTTGCTAACATAGAAGATGGCATGTTGGACGCCATCTTCTTCCCGGATGAGTACTGAGCTGATGGCTGCCGGGCTAACACCAAGGTAAAGGTATAGGGTCTCCCCTACCTTTGGTTTGGAGAGTACATGGGGCGAAGATAAGTGCCGTTTCAGATCCCCGAAGGCCTCCTGACATTATGAAGTCTACTGGAAACCGACGGTTCTCCTCATGATCTGGAAGAAGGGTAAGGACTTCTTCGCCGATTTTGACAGGAAGCGGTTGAGGGCTTCCAGGTGGCCCGTCAATCGTTGGAACTCCTTCACGTTGCGTGGGGGCTCCATGTTGATGATGGCCTGAATTTTTTCGGGGTTGGCCTCAATACCCCTTCGGCTCACCATGTAGCCTAAGAATGTGCCTCCTTGCACGCCGAAGGTGCACTTCTTCGGGTTTAGCCGAAGGTTGAACTTCTGCATGATGGCGAAGATCTCTCTGAGGTCGTCAACATGGCTTGTTGATTGCTTGCTTTTGACTATCATGTCGTCAACGTAAGCCTACATGGTGCGCCCTAAGACGGCTTGAAAGACCCTAGCCACCATCCGGGTGTAAGTGGTGCCAGAGATTTTTAGGCCG